ACCAAGATGGGGAAAAAAATCTTCTAACCAAGCGCTGTGAGGAATGATTGAGTGATCTGGGTATGTCTAGCCTGGAAAGAGAGAAGGCTGAGAGGTGATATGATAGATGATCCTACAGTCTCACTTTTATGTCTGAGGAAGTGGACTTGACTCATGAAAGGTCATGTTAAAATATATCAGATAATCTTTAAAGTGCCACAGCATTTTTGTCTTTTTATTTTGTTTTTGGTTTGATCTGCCAACTTTGGTTTATCAGTCTTGTGTTCTGATTCAATTATTACCTTCTGCAGGATGTCAGCACCTTCTTGCTGTTCCTGTAAATTTGAGGTTCCTGCATTGGTCAGTTTCCAATGCAGGATAGCCCATTGGTCAGTTTCCAATGTATGTTAGCCCTGTAAGAACCTGAAACTGACAAAAAGAGCTGATAAGAAAGCCCGCCCAGCATGACATCAATTTCTGTACAGTATCTAAGGAATTCTCGCACAAGATTTCATGGGAACTAACCAAATACCTTTTGCTGAGCAGTGAATCCTGGAGGAAAGAAACAACAACAAAAAAGGCAGAAATCCTTTAGAAAGTTGTGGGCCTAAGCATCTATAATCACAGCTTTACCAGAGCATTTCCCCCCTTACCTTGCTAGAATAGGATTTTACAATTGGGTGTTATATGACTATATTCCATATAAGATGGCAGCACTGTTGAATGGAAAGTCTACTGACTGTGGTTTGAGGTTTGCAGCTAGTTTTGAGGAGATTACACATCTCCTGAAGAGGTACATAGTTTTGTGTTTCTAGCTGAATGGATATTCCTAGAAATGCCTTTTTGTTGCTTAGCCTAGTTCAACGAATGAAATCCTACCTGGAAAAAGTGAACACGGCCTTAGTTACACACACTCCTTATAACTAGGCTGAATTACAATAACACTGTCTGCAGAAAATTCAGCTAGTAGAAAATTCAGTCACCAGAATGCTTCAGAGGGTTAAGTGGTTTGATCATAGCACACCAATACTGCATCAGTTACTTTGGCTAGTTATACATTTTCTGGCTCCATTTAAAGCTGAGCACTTTGGTACTAGTTTATCTGACAAACTGTCTATACACCCATGGACATGCATAGATCCCAAGATTAGCTTCAGAGGCCCTGCTCTCAAGCAGATTGCTACAGTCAATCAGGTTGGTGGGTACCATTTCAAGGGTGGCCTCTCATCTGTGGAACTTCCTTGCCTGAAAACTCCACCTCTTTCCTTCTCTTACATTCTGAACAATTTTTTTCTGGATGTGGTTGGCAAGTACATACAGGACAACTTAACAGAACTATGGATCAATTAATTGCACATACCATGATGGAGTGTTTGAGGGAGGGAACGTCAGGAAGTTTGTCTGTGCTGCTCATGCAATAAAATGGATAAACAGCATTTTCTTTTTTCTTTTTTTTCCCTTTTCTTTCTTTTTTTTTTGGGGGGGGCGCAATATCAGTTCTCATAAGTAGCCACCTCTCATGTTAATGACTAGGAGAAATCAAGTGCCATTTAGAAAATCATTTAGATACAATGATTTAATCAATGCTATAAAATTATTTCCTCATTTTTCCATACAGATTTTAGAAGGAAATAATCAATATTACAATTCATCTTTCATGATTCAAATCAACAAAACCAGGTAGCAGCCATGCATTTGTGTTAACGAGAAAACAGAGAAAGGAGTACCATGCAATCCATGCAAGCGTCTGCCACATGCATGGCAAACCCAGAGCAGCAATACGTGAGCCTCTAGGTTCCAGAACATAGAAGGTGCAAGACCTCCAATAATCTGAGACATTTAGATTCTATTTAAGAATAAACCATCTTTGACATATAATTGTTCACAGTTATACTCTATATTATAGCCACATTCTTTGACTTTCTCCTTCAATATTCTGTAACACACAAATGTCTTCCTATCCTACCCTGTCATGAGGAGAGAGAGATTTAAAAGGTCAGAATCCAGGCTGATTCAACTGTGTACTTTATTAGAAACTGGATGCTGAAAGGAGAGGATACCACCATGCTGTATAAAGAAAATGCAGACTACTATGAATTGGTTTAAATTCACTCATTCACTTGAGTGAGATATAGATTAGAGCAGGTATGCAGGATTACAACCAATATTCTCCCTCTCTTTAAATACTTCTGTAATTTCATTTGACAAAACTATTTGTACATCTTTAATTTTGTTAGCAGGTGCTTCATTTTCTGACTGTGAAAAGAATGCACAACAGTCAAGCATACTAAAAGAGATACAAGGACAATCTAATCTACCCTCCCAACCTCAGACATAAACTTCCACATACAACCTGCCTACCAGTCACTTAGTGAGACAACTCAAGAAAAAAAAAAATCATGTCCCTCAGGGTTGTACTAGTCTTGCCTAGAAGCCCTACGAAATCAGACAGGGCCATGAGATTGCCAGTGCTCAGTCTTGTAGTAGTTAAGGTAATCAGGGTAATTTGAAATATTCAAAACAGAAGCAATTGTAGTCATGCATACTCAGAGAACTACAGCCAATAGTGAGGCAGATCTGTACAACATGCATATTTCCAAAGATTTTTCACTTTTTCACACTTTACATTCTAATGTGTACACTTAAATTGACACTGTGTTTGAAGCAGCTTCATCTTTCCTTAAACTTCTCCAGTTGCAGTAACAAATACATCTGTTAAGCACTGGCCCAATCCAACATGAACTTACAAGTGACACCTTGCACACAGCAGTGACACAGAATCAGCAGTTCATTCATCGCAAAACAAATGTTCTTCTGTAATTTTACCCATGTTCATAAAGTCTGCTTCAGTAATTGGATGGATATACAATGCATATATCTGTCTTGGGTTATAAAATAATTAAAGCATACAAACTGTCACCATGTCCTGTAATTCATGTCCCACAAGACTTATTTTAAAAAGGAAAAAAGACCTGTCATGTATTGTTGGAATGCAATATTTATATTTGACTTATTCTAGGGCCCAAAAGAGCTGAAGTAATAACAGTACGGCATATTTCATATGCTCCAATATTAGGTTGTGTTTTTTTACTCACAGAGTGGGTTTTACAATTTACATTGCTTTATAGAGCATGAGAAAATATATTTACGTCTTTGACCTTTTTTTAACTCATCCCACTTCTAAGGTAATATTAACAGGAAAAGATCAATCTGAGGGGAAATAACAGAAACTGTTGTGGTTACCATTACATATGCTTTGGTTCCTAGACTGAGTTTATAAGCAAGGGCCACAAACCTTATAACAATAAAGGTTAGAGACACACCAGGGGAGAGCTCTATTGTCCCCATCTAGGTTGCTTGTAAAATATCTACTAGCATCTAACTACAATGCAGGACAGATTACTCTTTGGCCTGATCCAGCAGAATAGTTCTTGTATTTTGACCAATGTCATTTACAATGCATAGAAAATATTATACATAACCTTAAAAAAACTTCAGCTGTACACATTATAGTTTAAATATCTTGTAACCTGCTTACATTTGTTTCTTTAAAAATCCACTTATTGGGGACTTGGGTTGAAGAGTTCTTTTGTTTTCAAATGGCTTGCACATAAATAAAACAAGTACACAAGAACAGACAACTTCTGTAAGGAACAAGGTTTTTCAGTCAGGCAGAATGCTTTTCACTACACCTACATCACCCATACACCCTGATGATGGATGAATTGAAGCTTAAATAAAGATCACACATATGTAGGTTTTACAGGAGCCATAAATCTCACCCATATATCACTGCTGGTTACAAAACAAAATTTTTTTAAAAAAAACTAAAAAAAAAAAACCAAACCCAACTAGTGGCTGTCTCCTGTACTGTCTTTTAACCATCTGTCTTTTATAAGGAACTCAGTGGTACCTTGGCTTTTCAGAAGATGTACTGCCACTATTTCTGTATTTTCTCACTTCTCAAGGTTAATTCTGTTAACAGCTTGATCCTGTATCTTTCCACTTGTTCTAATCTCCCTTCTCCAAGGTAAAAATGAATACAGGATTGCAGCCTTAAAAACAACCCGTTTCATAATCTCTTCTGCCAAAGTTGATTCGTTCTGACTAAATGGAACTGAACTACAGCACCTTTGCATTCTCCTGGGGCAGGGGATTTAACAAAACTCCCAACTCAAAGCATGCTATATATCAGCTCTGCAACAGATTTCTCTCCCACTCCTTTTTTCATTATAGGGTCGCAGAAGAGTTAATCTACAAGACAGGTGAACTTGGAGTAAAATTATCAGAGTTTCGACTGCATACACACGTCTCTAATTTAAACTCCACCACTGCTTCTCACCTGGCAGTCGGAGAGTCAGCTCATAATCCTGACTCAGTCAAAACCTTCCCTCTCTGTAACTTCAAGTCTCCACCTCGAGCCTTGCTGGAGAGGAGCGAACTTTTCATCCCTTGGTTGCAAACTTATCCCAGACCTCTGACCCGCCGCTCCATCCGCGGCATTATCACCGGGGAACTACCCTCCAAAGCTTCCAGATTTATCTGATTTCTAGGCCTGGGCCCGGAGAAGTTTTCAGTCACATGACCAGCCAGCCGGACCTTGCGCCTATTTACAAGCCCCCCCCTTCCATTCAATGACACGCGTGCCCAACTGCGTGAGCCTGGAGTTGCCACCAAGTTTGTTCCCCTCCCCCCATCCCCACGTGAATGCAATTAAGAGCGTCCCTATCACAGCAGCCCTTAAATCCGGTTACCTCAGAATAGCTCCCACTGGAGCCAGTGGAATTTAATTCGGAGTTGAGCGCATGCAAGGCCATCATATTTAAAAACATCTTTTTCCCCCCGAAGCACTCCTCTACCCCCCTGTAGTCAAACCACCGTCGACTTCCGCATATCTTTTTTTTTAAAATCGGCATTTTCTTCCAAACGGGGCACAATACTCAAAAAAACGCGAACAAGTTGCTGCTTTAAAAATAAATAAATAAAGCCTTTCATTCCACGGCACCCCGCGCCTCACTTACCAGTTGCATGCCACAGATGAAGATGAGCGTGCACCTGCCGCTGCAATAGCCCATGGTTCCCGAGACCCCCTCGCCGCAGCCCCGCAGCCCCACGCAGAACCCAGCCGTATCCAATCAGACGCCGGGAGAGGCTCAGCCAGCCCGAACAGGAGGACTCCGGGGTCTCCTGCCTGCCGCCGCCGCCGCCACGAGTACCAGCGGCGCGTCCCGGGAAGTGACAGGCATTAGGATCGCATTATTAGCAGCAGCAGCAGCAGCAGCAGCAGCGCCGCCCCGAAACCTCACAACCGCCTCGGCAGCGGCGACTCTCGTCGTGCGAAGATGCCTCCGCTGTCAGCAGCAGTGGGAGGACTAGCAACAGCAGCAGCAGGAGGAGGCGGCACGGCGTCGGCGGCGGGAAGGATGGATGTCCCGGAAGTCACGGCACGGCGGGAAGGATGGATGTCCCGGAAGTCAGCCCTATTGCCCGCGGTTCCCCAAGGCATTCGGCGGCCTTTCCAAGTTTGCGCGCCTCCCCGCCTGAGCTCCGGGCTCCAGCCATCCAGCCCCTTGGGCAGAGAGAAGGGGAAAGGAGCTCAGCTCATTCTCGCCGCTTGGGTTTCCCTCCGGGTCTCTCGCCAAGCACCCCCCCCCGCCAGCCCTACCCCTGAGCAGCCCTCCTTTTCTTCTTTATTATGGTGCTTTTGGGCCTCCGAGGAGCGCCAGCGCCGCCGCCGCCGCCGCCGCCACCACCCCAGAGAAGCCTCTTCTCGCAGCTTGGTCAGGTACCCTTTTTACAAAAGCGCCAGTGTTTCCATGCGATGGCTGAGGAGCGGTTATTCCCAATGCAGCACAGCAACAGAAGGAGGAGGAGGAGGAAGGAGGGAGCTGGCTGCTGCTGCTGCTGCTCAGAGGCATGACAGGCGCTGTCTCTCTCAGTGTTTGCAAGGCAACGGCTGCCGCCGCCGCCGCTGCTCTCGCTTCCTGCTCCTTCAGCCCAGCTCGGGGAGGGGGAGAGTGGCTTGCAAGAAAGGAAATGTGGAGGCGGCGGGGGGGGGGGGGAAAAAGAGGAGGAGGAGGAGGAAGACCTCCCCAGTTCCCCCCCGTATGACTTTGGCTCTGCTCTAGACTTCAGGACGCTCTCCCTTATCACGAGGATACAGCCCAATATAAGCCCTCAGCGGCTTGGCTCGCTCTCATCTCTCTCCCCCCCCCTTCAACACCAACAGCCTCAGCAATAGCGCAAACCTCTTTGTATCCACCCCCGCCGGCGTCGCTGAGGAAACCGCCGCCCTGAGGGGGGGCTGCCCCCCCCCGCGCGCGTGCTTTTTGAATGGGATTTCACACGTGAGGCGAGGCGGGGGAGCGCGCGCGGAAGAATTGGGGGCGAGGTGTGGAGAAAAGGCGAGGGTCCGAGGGAAAGAGCGCGTTGGTGGAGGGAAGGGGGTTCTGGAGGACGAGGCCGCCTGGTAGACCACAGGATGCTTTCCTTGGTTCTGCTTGGGCTCTCCAACTCCCCACCACCCTCTCCTCCTCAAGGCTTGGGGAGTGTGTGTGTGGGGGGGGCTCTGCTTCTGGAGGAGGATGCAGCGAAGAGGTCGCGTGGTACTGATGAGGAGGGAGGATAGTGCGGAGTTCTCTGCTGCCGCCTGCTGGGCCTTTGTGGGAAACCAGGGCAAGAAAGAAGAAGAGAGAAGGCAGGGCCTCTCGGGAGGTGACCTGCAGATTGGGGTCAACTGTCCAAACTTTCTTTTTGGCTCTGGGGCGCCTAGGCGGTGCCCTGGCCCTCCAGCATTTAACTAAGGAAGAGAAGAGGCTTCTGCCTCTTCTCTCCAGCGCACCCAGGCAGTAAGCCCCCATTCCCTTTTAAGTGTTACAAGACAGGCAAAATGTTAGCAGTGTGAAGCTGCTCCTTGCATTCACCAGCCCTGTGAAAGGTCTCTCTGAAGAGCCAGCTCCTAAAGATGCTATTTTGGGAGAGATGGTAACCCAAGTCGTAGAAGCACGAGACAGTTCCTGATAACCAGAGCCAACCTGTTCAAGCAATTACCAATAAATACATTCCATTACAGCCAAAATGTTCTCAGAGATACATGGAGGCTTCAGAGAATTGATGGCCATTATTTTAAACTGTGGACATTTCTTTTGATTGTTGTTGTTGTGAGCATGTTTGCTCTGGCCTTCCCATGAAAATGTTCCCAAAGCACCTTTCTTGACATCAATAAAGTGACAGCTAAATGGTGTTGTTGTCAGACTTGGGAAACATTCAGCCCTTCAGATGTTGCTGGAGCACAATCTGCCTCTTCCCCCTACTGCTGCTATTTGTGCTGGCTACAGCTGGTGGGAATTACAGTCCAACCATATCTGGAGTGCCCAGTATTCCCCAGCAATCTTTTATGCATGCCATTACTGTAGACCAGTTGCTGAGGGACAATGGTATGAAAAGTCTGTTACATTTGTGATCTTCTTGTGGGCTCCCTGGGGCGGAGGGCTGATCACTAAGAAAGAAAAGATACAGGAGCAGATGGGTTATTTGGTTTTATAGTATTGTGAACAGCCAGTCGTTTCCAGTCTTCAGGACAAAAGCAGAATCTATACCATATAAGTTGGTGGCAAATTATTGTTGTTTAGTCATTTAGTCATGTCCGACTCTTCGTGACCCCATGGACCAGAGCACGCCAGGCCCTCCTGTCTTCCACTGCCTCCCGGAGTTTGGTCAAAATCATGTTGGTAGCTTCAATGACACTGTCCAACCATCTTGTCCTCTGTCGTCCCCTTCTCCTCCTGCCTTCACACTTTCCCAACATCAGCATCTTTTCCAGGGAGTCTTCTCTTCTCACGAGATGGCCAAAGTATTGGAGCCTCAGCTTTAACCCTCAGTGAGCACTCAGGGTTGATTTCCCTTAGAATCGATAGGTTTGTTCTCCTTGCAGTCCAGGGGACTCTCAAGAGCCTCCTCCAAGTAACAGTTAATGAGCTAAATCATATATTAAAGACTGGGGAAATTACAACCTAGACTAGATATGGAGAAATATGTGGTCCTCCAGATATTGTTAAACTGCAATTCTCATCAGCCCCACCATAAGTTAGCTGGAAAGGGATAATAGGAGTTCCAGCCCAGTAACAGAGATAGGGGTTACATGTTACCCATTCATCTTCTTAAATTATTTATTACACTGGGGAACATACCAGCTTGGTCCCAGTTCAAACCCAATTGGTGTTAGGCTTGGCTCAATGCTGTAACTCTTTTTTTCCTCCCTCTGCCCCCATCTCACCAGTCTTTTTTTACTCACTTAAGCTGTACCAGCTTCACATACAATTAAAAAATGCCTTAGTGATCTACCCACATGCTCTTTCCTTTCATCTGCTCTTCCCTTTTTTTCTTTCTCTCCATCATTTTCCTCTACTGAATCTTCTTCCATCTTCACCAGTAGATTCTCTGAATTCAAGGGTTGTTCTATTGCCTCCAAGGCAGTAACAACATGTGTATACTATGCTAATTATTTGTTCCTTGTACAAGCCATGCACTCAGTTGTGTGAGAGTTGGCCAGCAAGCAGCCTTACACTAATTTACCACTTTGAAGCACCCCTTTCAACACCACTTGATAGGAAAAACCAGGGATATAAATCCTTGTTTATTGGTGTCCTGCATGGGAGAACAAGGAATTGAAAAATTACTTTCTCTTCTGCAGAAGAGAGGACTTTGATGGGACTTTTTGTTGCACTTTGACAGGGAACAGGAATTTTTGTGCAAATTAAGCAGAATTGTGCAAAATATCACTTTAATGAAAACAAGGCTTAGACATAAATAATGCAACTTGAACAAAATGATAGTAATTAATGCTTTGGTACATTGGCTTTTAAGGGTTAAAAGCATTTAAACATTTCCTTTAGTTTGACTTCTGTTGCAAATTTTGCAAGTGTTGATCCTGCTGGTTCAATCAAAGAGGGGTTATTTGCATGTTTAAATAATTAGCTAGTCATTCTGTGCTTCCTGTGTATGTGCTTCGTTTCTGAAAGGGAAGAGACATTAATTTTATGCAGACCCTTTGTGTAGATTTTGGAGGCTCTAGCAAAAGTAGCTATCCTTGCCTTGCTTTCACCTAGAGTTGAGGAATCTCACAGGGCTTGAAAATGCTTCTTCAGGGTCTCAGCTAATCAAGACAGATCTGTGAGAATGAATAATTTAATGAGGATTTTCTATACCTCAAAGACACAGAAATTTGAATTTCCTGATGAGCTTTGCATTTAATGCTCAGATGTACATTTTGTGGCCAGAGGAATTTTGTGCAGCTCCATGATGCCATTTCCTTACCACCTTTCCAAAGGACTCCAGTGTCTAACAGCTGAAGGAAATGTAGATATGCAAGACGTATAGCTTTCCACAGTGGGGTCCATAGAGCTTGAGAACTTGTTTTAACCATCAGGATCTTTGAATCAACACTTGCAAATTTGCAATAGAAGTCAGCCTAAAGGAAAGATTTTCAAATGCACATTTCAGAAATAGAAATATTATGTTTGAACACATAAAGCATATCCTATGGCACATGCAGAATGTGTAAACAGCTTAACAATGTTGTTAAAAGTTACACCAGTCCACTTCAGAGCTGGAAAATGTTTTCAGACCAAGAAATCTTCATGTGATGTGATATACAGCCTTGGAAGACAATACTTGCAAAATCATATCAGGCAGCTATTATAAGCAACCTCCCCTGTATATTCAGAATGTGACTATGTACAACTACTAGGTTATAAGGTTCGTTTGTGCACTAGTGCATATGCTTTGAAAAGTTAAAACAGAAAATAGCTGTAATACTAGCATGGGGAGATACTTTTTAAAGGCCCCCTTCTGTTATGTTTAGCATTTCTATGCAAAATATTAAACCAGTGAAAGGTGTTCAATTATCTGTAATAGTCATCCTGACAGTGGACATAGTGTGTACAACAAGACAAAGAAAACTTCATATAAAAATTGTAATGATGTTTAAGAATTGTTTCTTAAGGACATTAAAATTCCTTGAACAGTTCCATACTGATAGAAGTAACAGATGCCTGCTCTAGTGTTAACAACAGATTGTCAGGCTCCAGGTAGAAGATCTACCTCAACAGCCCCTTCTGCAGAAGGTTCTATTTTAAGAACAAGAATGCCCTGGTGATCTGAAAATAACCGAAGCAGAATCATCCCTTCATATGCCAACATGTTCAAAGTCTGTGCCTTGCACATAGATAACTCCACTAATATGTTACATAATAGGTTCTGTTTTCCAGGCACCAGTGCATAGAGACTATGCTGCAAATGAACACAATATAGGAATCTGTTTATGTAGTATGGAGGTTAGGGCCAAACTGTAACACTCAATTTCCATGTTTTGGCATGTTCTAGCCTTTCTGCAAAATCAAAAGCATGCTGGGGAAAAAG